ATACATACATACATACATACATACATACATACATACATACATACATACATACATACATATATTGTCTCTCTGTATCTCCACCATCTATCTATCTCTCGTCTGTCTATATCTCCATCCATCCATCCATCCATCCATCCATCCATCCATCCATCCATCCATCTATCTATCTATCTATCTGTCTATCTATCTATCATCTCTGTCATCTAAAGCACATGAAGGCAGGACAAGAAGCAATGGATGGAAACTAATCAAGGAAAGAAGCAAGCTAGAACTAAGGAGGAATTTCCTGATAGTTAGAAGAATTAATCAGTGGAATAACTTGCCTCCAGAAGTTGTGAATGCTCCAACACTGGAGGTTTTTAAGAAGAGATTGGACAACCATTTGTCTGAAATGGGTTATAGGGTTTCCTGCCCAAGCAAGGGGTTGGACTAGAAGACCTCCAAGGTCCCTTCCAACTCTTTTATTCTGTTAATCCGTCAGGTATTCTGCCCTTAATATCTTTAATAAAGTTGGTTCTCAAAGTCTTTATGGCATTTTGTTCTGTTTACCATGCAAGAAGCAATCAGCAGAGTGAATGATACTTGTGGCATTTAAGCCTTAAGGAACACTATGCTTCCTTGAGGTTTTTTTAATAGTTCCACAGTAGGATACTTCTAAGTAGAGTTAGACATTGACAGTTTAATTAGGAAGCACTCAGTGACAAATGTTCCAGATGTTTAAATGTTGCTGTGGTATTTATGAAAGATATATGCTTAAGGAGTCTTAGAGGCTGCCCCACTTTATGGGGAAAAATAACATCCAAACTTCAAATAGTTTTCTGCCATACACCGATGTTCATTACCTAATCTTGGCCACAATCATCCAATTGATTGAAATGCTGGTGGAAAAAAATCAGAGAGTGAGAACCCACAACTCAGTGCCCATTCTTTTCCATCCAAGGGCTATATGTAGACCTAGGGGTTGGTCCACCATTATCTACTCTGTTATTATAAATTATTTGTGCCTTCAAATCAATCTTGACCTCTGGTGACTACCTGGACAATTCCATGCAGCTTTTTTGGTGAGATTTTGAAAGTGGTTTGCCCTGCCATCTTCTTCTCAGGGCTGAAAGAGACTGATTAGCCCAAGGTCATCCAGCTAGCTTTCATGACTAAGGTGGGACTAGAACTCATAATCTTCCACATTCTAGTCCGGTGCTTTAACCACTAGACCAGGGGAGGGCTGCTACAGGTTCCCCCCAGGGTTCGGGAGAACCCTTAGCTAACTTTATGGCTGGTTCGGAGAACCCCAAAATCCCACCCCTGGCTGGCCCTGCCCACCATGTCCGCCACCCCTCCCCTTCCAAGAATCTCCACGCAGCCTGTTTCGGATGTAAGGCATGGAAGCTCGTGGAGGGTGGAAAGCAGGCTTCCTGGAAGGCTTTCGGAGCCCGGGGAGACACTTTTTGCCCTCCCAGAGGATCAAGAAAAGCCTCAGGAACCTGGGGAAGGCGAAAATGCCTCCCTCTCCACTGTGGTACAGGACGCTGACTAGGCCATGCCCACCATGGCCACACCCACCCAGCAACCAGGCAGAGAACCTGTTGCTGAAATTTTTGAAGCCCACCCCTGTACTAGACCAATTTGGAGTATTCCTAGATCAGCTCATTCTATTGCTTGCCTTTGACATTGCCTTTTGGTTTTCTTTTAAAATGGGCCTCTTTTTTATTTTTGGCACTTACAAAAAAAATGGTGCAGAAGGGGAAATCAGCCGCAAAAAAAGTGATTTTTTTTGGTCAGAACCCAATTTAGTCATGGTCAGAAGTGTTTGTGACCAGAGGTTCTACTGTAGCTGAAATTTTCTGGTTGTCTCTCACTGATATTTTAGCCAATAAAAATTCTGCTTACTAGGGACGCGGTGGCTCAGTGGCTATGACACTGAGCTTGTTGATCAGAAAGGTCAGCAGTTTGGTGGTTCGAATACTGAGCACCGCGTAATGGAGTGAGCTCCGGTTACTTGTCCCAGCTTCTGCCAACCTAGCAGTTTGAAAGCATGTAAAAATGAAGTAGAAAAATAGGAACCACCTTTGGTGGGAAGGCAACAGTGTTCCATGTGCCGTTGGCGTTTAGTCATGTCGGCCACATGATCACGGAGATGTCTTCGGACAGCACTGGCTCTTTGGCTTTGAAACAGAGATGAGCACTGCCCCCTAAAGTCGGGAACGACAAGCACATATGTGTGAGGGGAACCTTTACCTTTCCTTTATACTGAAATATTGGCTAACCTTACTTACTTACTTTGATTATTTCATGTGATTGGCAGTTTTATTGGTATTTGTGCATGTCTTAAGTTCTTCCCTTTTTGAACTTGTTCTCTCTCTATCTTTCCATTCACTGTTTTCTTCTTCTTTTTCCTTCTTGCAGGAGCTCTTAAGGAAGAAGTGACCACAGAAGTGTAAGAAAAAGCTCCCCTTCAGATTCACAAGGATGTGGCTTTGAATTGCTCTGGACCTTTGGTGAAGTGGATTGTTTATCTTTCAAAATTCATGCTGTGCGGTTTTGTTCCTGGAACTAATTGACCTTTGCAATTCTACCTGGTGTTCTTCCTCTTGCCGTTGTTCTCACAATGAGTGGTATTTTCTCCTACCTGGACCCCCGGCGGATCCAGTGGGGTGCCACATGGTATGCCATGCACTCAAGAATCCTTCGCACCAAGCCAGTAGAATCCATGCTGGAAGGCACAGGCACCACCACCCATGGAACAAAACTGGCCCAGGTACTCACAACCCTGGATTTGGTTTCTTTAGGTGTTGGAAGTTGTGTGGGGACTGGCATGTACGTGGTTTCTGGCCTCGTTGCTAAGGAGATGGCAGGGCCTGGAGTCATTGTTTCCTTCATCATCGCTGCTGTAGCTTCTATCTTGTCTGGTGAGTCTTTCCTAAATATACTATACTACACTACATTTACTCCAGGTGTGTCAAACTCAGGGTCCGCAGGCCGGATGCCTCACGTGCTGGCTACCCCCACCCCCATTTCAGTGAAGGGAAAAAAACTTGTGATACATTATGTGGGGACAATGTGTCATCACGAGTTTGACACCCCTGATTTATACCCTGTTTCCCTGAAAATAAGACCTCACCGGATAATAAACCCAATCGGGGTTTTGAGTGCATACGCTAAAATAAGCCCTCCCTGAAAATACTGCAACAGAGTAGCAGCCATGAGGTGACCACACTCGCCGCCTCCTGCATCTCAAAAATAATAAGACCTCCCTGAAAATAAGGCCAAGTGCTTATTTTGGGTGTTGAAAGATAATAAGACCCTGTCTTATTTTCAGAGAAACACGATATTATACTTTTTCCAACACAATTATTCTACCCTTCTGTGACAGAGACATTTCTTGAAGCTTCTTCTATTATTTTTGAAAATTTAGTTCATGTGTTGTATTTTTTTGAAGATACATACCATATTTTTCGGAGTATAAGACGCACCAAGGTTTTGAAGAGGCAAATTTTAAAAAAAGGTTTTTGCACTCTGCAAACCTGCCAAAAACTGCCCATTTTTTTGCGAAAACAGGCCCATTTTATGTTCAAAAAAAGGCCTGAATAGCCTTTAGGGGGCTTGCAGAGTGCTCCTGGGGGGTGAGCCCCCCCCCCCAAAATGAGCAAAAATGGCCCATTTTTCACAAAAACGGCCCCATTTTTTTGTCAAAAAAATTTGCATGCATATCCTTTAGGAGGCTTAGCGGGTGTTTCTGGGGGTGGGGGAGCAAAACTGAGCAAAAAAATAGCCTGTTTTTCACCTATTTCTGCCCTCCCCAACACCCAGAAGCTCTCTGAAAGCCTTCTACAGGCTCTGCTCGGCCATTTTGGTGAAGGGGGCGGGTTTCAAGAGGCAAGAAATGCTGTATTCAGTGTATAAGATGCACCTAGATTTTCAGCCTCTTTTTTGAGGGGAAAAGGTGTGTCTTATACTCTGAAAAATACGGTAATTTGAAGGATGAATACCATTTCTCTTCTTTACCTAGATCTCACCCGCGGGGCCCTCACAGCTCCATTGCTGGCAGAGTATTAGCAAAACACACTACTAGCAAAAGTAGCATTTAATCACACACAAGTGATGGCAAACTGGCCATGCCCCACCGCTGGCCACACCCATCCCTGCCCCTTGAGGTCAGACACAACCCTGATGCAGCCCTCAATGAAATTGAGTTTGACACTCCCTGCCCTAAATAAAAGTCTTCACATTCTTCCCCTGTCATTGAAGTTCTGAAAGCTCTTTGAATTTTTCTCCCCCAGGATCTTGACAAAGAAGAACAAGAGCAGTGGTTTTCAACTTTTCTTCACCATGGCCCCCTTTTTCAGCCATGCACCCCCAAGACTTAAGGTTTCGATCATAACATTTTCAAGCTTTTGTGGACCCCCCTCTGATAACATCATGCCCTCGCCAGTGGTCCAGGGAGGGACCACAGGTTGAGAAGCTCCTGTAGACTCTCTATCACCGTGATGGGGAGCCTATGGCATGCGTTCCCAAAGTGGCATGTGGAGCCATGTCGCCTGGTATGCACAGCGTTGCCCATTCCTCTTCCAGGTTTCTTTGTGCATGTGGCAGTGCCGGAAACTGGAAAAGCTGGTCTTCCGTTTTCCAGCTTGAGCATGGATGTTGGCCAGCTGATAGTTGCATGTGCATGCATGCCAGTAACCGAAAGTCTAGCTGGCCGGTGCACATGCACCTGCTGGAAACCAGGAGTGCATTTTCTGGTGCGTGCAGGCCCCCTGGGCAGCTCCTATTCCAGGTCGCATCCCAGTCAAGCGTGTGTACTCCCTTTTCAACACTCAGTGCCGAAAAGGTTTGCTATCACTGGTCTATCAGAACAAGAATGCAGGAAAATTTAAAAATCATGTGCTCTCCTTTACATGGGTCGATTCAGGTTTCATAATCCAGTCCCAGATTAAAGTCAATATTTTTTTTAAAAAAAAAACTCTCCATAGCCAAAGGGAAGTTTCCCACCAATCAGTGTCATGCTCAGCAATTGACTGGGTGTTTGTACTGTTGTTGGATCTATCCACAATTATATTAGCCTAAATCCCTAGAATATTTTGTGTAAAACGAAGGAATAACAATCATAGTGGAACGATGACTATACGATGATAATGATGTATTTATGCTTATTCAATGGATAATTTGTGATTTGATATACAATTGTAAGTGGCGAGAATGGAGATGCACAAAAACCTGTGAACCAAACGACACGCTATATGAAACAGTTGAAGGTTGTATGTTTTATATGTTTTGTTTGTCTTTTAAAAAAATATAAATAAAATAAATAAATAAGAATTAACAAGAAAAAAACAACAATTATTAGCCTGGAAAATGTAGGTTAATCAAAGATATATCAAGGAGAGAGGACTTTGGTAGAATCCATTCCTTGAACTTCTAGCAATCCAGATAGACTTCTAAACCAATCCAACAAATTTACATTGGTTAGGTGTCCCCGATTGGGTGGTATACCCAATCTGCAAACCATGATTAAATGTTTAAGGGTTTGGCAATGCATTTCTGCTACTCATGCAGATCAAAAAAACAACAAGCCATACTGAAAAGAACTTTTGCATAGTATGATACCAACTACTATTGCATTGCACCTATCAATAAAATGCTAATGATAACTACCTCTATAATAAAATGTTTCATTTAATGTTGGTTTTTAAAAAAAATAAAGACTTCTGTCTAAAGAATGGTGTGTTACATGAAAAATCCATTAGTTTTTCTTTTTTCTTTTACTGCCTTTGTGCATGGAAATGGATTTTACACTTTTTTGAGGCTAGAATTCTCATTAGAAATTAGCTGGGGTAGATGTGACAAGACTATCAAGCAAAATAAGGTAGAACCTTCATCCGGCAAATTTGCTTTTTTGCACTTGTTCAAAATTGCAAGTTCCTTTGCACATCTGCTTCTTGTAGGAAAGTAAATTGATTTCTCGTTTTCTCATTAATAGGTGACCTTGTGGTGTATAAGAGTCCAGATGTTATTTCAGGAAAACAGGTGTACTATCTAGCTAGGCTCGTGACAAGGGCAAGAGAATTAAGAAGGGGCATTATCTGGAAAAGATAATGCCCCTTCTTGAGATGTTTCTGGATTTTCCCGTCAAATTAATATTTGTTTTAATTTTGGTTTGTGGCAATAAATAATAGGTGAAGTCTCCTGTAACAATAACTCATTTTGATTATTGAATAAAGCAAGGATGAGTGAGCTTCTTCTTCTTCTTCTTCTTCTTCTTCTTCTTCTTCTTCTTCTTCTTCTTCTTCTTCTTCTTCTTCTCCCTCCT